AAGGGCTTCCATCGTGGGGAAGGGCTTCCATCGTGGGGAAGGGCTTCTGGTGGCTGTTTTCCTCCGGGTGGAGAAGTCTTTCCTACGCGAGGTTGTGAAACGCCTCCCTCTCTCCTCCTCGGAAGCGCTCTGGTGCACGTCCAGGTGCAGCTGGAGCTGCCTGTGTCCTGTGCGGGGTGCGTGGTTACCCAGAGCACTGCCAGTTGTCCTAGCCACGTCTGCTGAACAGACAGACTGCTCTCCCCACGCGACCGAGTGGCCGACTGGATGGAATCCCACTGACCAAGCCGGGCGGGGGCGTCTGGCCCCTCTGTTCTGTTTGAGGCAGGGTTCTTGTGTCCTCCGTGGTGTGGCCGCGGTAGGGGTCCTGAGACCACGGGCACAGGCTGCAGCGCACGGTGCCTCTGAGAGACTTTCCCGTGCTCAGTCCTTTCCCATGCCGTGGAAAACGTGGGGTCATCTTGTCTCTTCAGAATAGCTCACTGGTATTGGGCAGGAGCTGCCCCTGATCTATGCACCAGGGTAAAGATGGCAGAAGAGTCACCAGACTGTCACAAGTCTCCGTCCACGAGCCTGAGTCGGGAAGGGTCTAAGTCTCTGGCAGTGCTGCCGGCCCTCGCGGCCGAGCCCTTCCCGTTGTCTCAGGCTCGTCCCCAGGTGTCAGATTTTCTGATGCTGTTTTAAGTGGTGTTTTAAGTCTCCACTCCCAGTCACTGGTTTGTGGTACCAGTGCAGTGGTCTCTGTGTTGACCTTGTCTTCTGACCTCGATGCGTGCAGCAGGCCTGGTGGTCTGTGTGGGACCCTCTGGGTCTTCTAGGTGCGCAGTGAGAGGCACCCAGGCAGGGGAGAGCCGTTCCCCGGGCAGGTGCTCTTGGCCACTCAGGTCTCGGGGCCTCAGGGATGGGAAGTCCCTGCTTGCTCGAGTGTCCATCTCGTTGGTCCTTCAAAGCCAGGGTCTCCTCTGTGGTCTTCCTGTTGTTCATTCTCTGTTGATTTCCACTCCGATTCCACCGGGCCCTTGGCTGGACTCGCGTTGGCTGTATTCTCTCCCTTTCCTTTGTAGGTGTACTCGACTGTTTCAACCGCCGTGTGCTAATGTCCACGCCCTTGGGCTCCTCCTCTTTCCCTGGCTTCTCATGGGAAAGCTTTAGATAATAGACCCGAGACATCTTTTCTGACTTGAGCACCTAACACTAGGAACCCCAGCTCTTCCTTGGCTCTGTCTCCCAGAGTTCACACTGTGGCTGCTGTGACCAGTCGAAATACACCGAGGTGCCCTGGTGACTTCTCCCCAGACGCCCTGTGCTGTGCGCGATACGTGGGGACACTGTGAACACCTTACTGTTCTCACCGTGTCTGGACATCACATTGTGGTTGTCCTATGTCGTGGGACTGTGCTGAGACCCGCGGGGAAGGCCACAGTCTTCCCGCGACCCGCCCCTCTAAGCTCTTACGTGGGTCTTTGCTTCCTGCCGAGTACCAGAGGTGGTGTCCAAGGGGGGTGCTGTGCCCTTCTGCCCTGCGCTCTGTCCCCGTGGCCTCGCGAGGCTTAGGGTCTGAGGGCGGGACGGCTCCCTGGAGAAAGTGCCGTCTCATCACAGGAGAGCCACACCCGGGCCCTCATGACAGGGCCACTTGCTTCCACACAGAATGGACAGACAATTTCCACTTCTGGGAGGACTGTCCCTCCCCACTGCCTTCTGGGAACACTGAGTCGAGAGGGTCCACTTTGGGTGGCCCCCGCAGAGCAAGCCCCCAGGAGCCAGGCTCCAAGATTCCTTCCCAGGGAAGGCCAGTGTGGCATGGGTCCTCAGATGCCATGACAGGTTGGTCCGGCCCACTGGGCTTGCCCGGAACTGTCCCCACCGCCCTCTTAGCCTGATCCTGGAAGGACCATGACCATTGTCCCATGGATCACTGCATACACCACGGCCACCCCAAATGCAGGACCCCATGGCATGAGGGGCAGCTCAGACCAGAGGGCTGCTTGGCACCACCTGGCCAGGGCCAGTTCCCTGTGAGGCCGACACCCTGCTGATGCTCTGGCTCCAACCTCAGCTCCCACGCCGGGGCTTGCCGGATGCCACCTGGCACCATTCCCGGGGACTCCCCGGGCTCTGTGGTGGGAGGGTGGCGTGTTCTGCTACGGGGCCACTGTGCTCTGGCCCCTTGCAGCTGACAGCCTCCACGTCACCCATGACATTCCTGAGCGGGCGCCTGCAGCCTCTGCCATTCACCGAGGCCCCTGAGCACCGTCTTGCTCCCTGTGGTGGGTGGGCAAGGTCCCAGATGCCCTGTCCTCAGGACACAGGATCCTCCCTGCCCTGCAGCGCTCGAGGCCCTGGCTCTGGCTGCCACGGCGTGGCTACTCCGCTCACCAGGCCTCTGGGCCTCAGAGGAGGCTGTTCCCATCCAGGGTCCTGGGTGGGCTGCAAATGCCACCAAGCAGCTACAGAGGATGCATGGTAGAAAATGTCCCCTGGGCTGGGGACAGGGAGGCCACGGACTGCAGGCAAACGGGCTGACAGGGCTGTGGGCTGGGCAGTCAGCAGGGAAAGAGAAATGTGGCAGAGGGGCCCTTCCCCAGGGAGGGGCAGGCAGGTGGGGCAGTATGGGGCAGGTGGACATGCTGCAGCAGGAGTGGGGGCCTCTCTGCTGGCTTCAGTGCCCCTGTGAACTGCAGGAGGGGACCCTGAGGGAAGGCCACGCGCAGAGGACGGAGAGGTCTGAGATCGTCGGCACACCAGCCTCCTCTGCCTCCAGACTCTGTATTTCCCCTAGAGATACAGAAAGTGGGGCCTCCTGTGCGGGGTGTCGTGGGATCAGGCACAGTGCTCACCACCAAGGGGCCGCCTTCAGTCAGGCACGGAGGAGCCACCACACGTCCCCATGCAGACACTGGGTCTTCCTGGTGGTGCCACCTGGGGCAGCTCCACCCTAGGCCCCTGGCCTGGGGGACACAGTGCTGCCCGGCACTGACTATCACAGCTGCCCCCTGGACAGACTGAGGACGCCCGGGAGCAGAGTCCCTCCACCACCCCCCTCAAGGGGAAGTCCAGCCTCTGCACACGTCCCAGGAGCCTCTGTGGGGCGGCAGAGCCTGGGGCCCAGCTCAGCTCTGCTCAGTGCCCAGGGTCTTGGTCTTCCGGAAGATGCCCTGCATGGCCGAGATGCGGTCCTTATCCTGGATGTTGAAGACCTGGAACTGCAGATGGGCAGGGAGAGAGGGTCACGGAGAATCTGGGCCTCACGGGGCCCAGAACACAGCTCGCCCTGTCGCGGGCTCCTCCCTCACCCCGTGAGCCCTCCTCCTCACACTCGGCATCAACCACTAGGTGCTGGCTGAGGCTTCTGGTCACCAACCAACCCCACCTGCCAACCCCGAGGCTGAACTGAGGTCCTCCCCTGGCCAGCAGGAGGTGGGGCCGGGGAGCCAGGAGGCCCACGTGTCCTGGAAGAGGGTGATATTTCTCTTGGGTGATGTGCAGGGCTGGCCTTTGCAGGGGATGGGACTGGGCTCTGTGGGTGGAGGGCAGCTGGTGGAGTCAGGCCCCCAACAGGGAAGGCCACACTCATGAGAACAGGCAGGGCCTCTGAGCAGTGGCTACCCGTGGGAAATGGGGCAGTCTCAGAAATGCTGCCCTGCTTCTCAGGGAGTGGCCTGGGCCAGGGGGCCACTGCTGAGGGACGCTCCATGGACACGGACCCCCAGCACTCACATATGCCTCCCCTCTGCCCAGAGGCCTGACCTCACCCAGTCACCCTGGGCTCCTGACCTGGGGGGTGTAGCCAGGGTGCTGGACCAGGCTCTGTCCCCACCCTCACGTGACTCTGGGCTGGCTGAGGTCCCCTCAGCCAGCTGTGCCCACCTTATCCAGCAGGACATCAAAGTAGGCAGGGGTCCAGTAGGTGGGGTCACTGGCAGGCAGCTGTAGGAGCGCCTGGACCCCGTTGTCGATGCGCGGCGGGGGGAGGCGGCCCAGGTGGGTGACGTGGATGTGCAGGGACATCTCTGGCTGGCGGGCGAAGCGCTCCACACGCTGGTAGATGGCGCTGAGGTCCAGGCCGCAGCCACGCAGCAAGTTGTGCCCGGGGCACAGCGGGTGTGGCAGGTTCCTTGTGGCCAGGCAGCAGAGCAGCACCACCAGGACCCGGTACACGGCCCCCTGCAGCTCCGCCCAGTCCTCGGGCGCCGGGAAGAGCACGGAGGCCCACAGCAGCGCCATCTGTCACACAGCCACCACCTGCTGCTCCGAGGGCTGCCTGGGACCCCACCCACTCTCTGCTCCTCCACCCCCTGGGCCCCTCCTGGAGTCCTCTTCCCACTGGGCTCCCCTAAGGTCCCGCCCCCGAGTCCCCGTGCATGCCCCCCAGCCCAACCCGGAGGGCCCCCCTGTGCACCCTGGAGCAGTGTCCCTCCCTCCTGCCTGGGCCCTGCCTGTGGCTCAGCTGAATTGCTGTGCCCTCAGGCCCCTCTCCTTCACCAGCCCCATGACCTCTCAGCTCAGTCTGGGGATCAACAGTCGTTGTCCCCCCCAACCTTAGGCAGAGGCCTGAGAGGGCAGAGAGTGGCCTGAGGTCACACGGAGACCCTCGACAGAGCCATGGTCTGAGGACAGGTCAAGACCTCTCCCTGAACACCCGAGCCAAGCAGAGGTCCCTCATCCCCGCCGCACACTCGGGGGGGGGGGGGGGGGCTGCCCTGGCAGAGACCCCGAGACCCCACAGCCCAGGAATGGCACAGCTGGCCTCACGGGAGACAGCAGGCTGCAGCCTCACCCCTCATGCCCCCACGAGCCAGGTCTCGCCCCCAGAACCGGAGTCCTCCAGACACGGAGGCCCCCCCCCGGCTGCCCACCAGGGGGAGCTGGCACAAGGGACATGCCTGGTGCCCTGGCCCTGGCTCCCTGGTCAAGGCTGAGGCTCGCCTACCTTCAGGTGGTCAAAGGTCAGGCCAGGGCTCTGGCCACCGTCCCTCCAGCTCTCGTGGTTCACCCGGTCCAGGATGCTGAGGCTGTCCAGGCGGTGGCCCTGGAGGGAGCCCAGCCCACTGAGCAGCTGGCTGAGGGGGTAGCCAGTGGAGGTCCTGGAAGCCAGACCACTCCATCAGCCGGGGCTGCTCTCGGCTCCAGGTTCTCAGTTTATCACCAGAAAGGAGCGGCCCGGCCTCTGTGGCTGCCCACACTGGAGGCTCCTAAGTCGGCCGGTGGCCAAGCTGGGCTTCAGCCTGTTCTATGGGGACCTAGCTGGCCCCTCACTTTTCTTAGGAACTGACCCAGGGGCCATTGATGGTGGACACCCAGTCTTCATGCACTCCCCTGCCAGGGTGAGGAGTGACGTGGGTGCCTGTGGGCCAGCCTCCTGGCCCCTTGAGGGACAGGACAGGGTCTCAGTCCTGCCTAGGTAGGGCAGCAGTGACAGTGGACTCCTGGGCAGGGGGCAGGCCAGCACCCCTGGGGTTCCACTCAGGAAGCCTGAGCCCACCCGCACAGACAGGCAGCGGACAGCAGTGGGCCGGGACCCCCACCTCAGTGTTCGCGGTACAGGGCATCCTACCCCAGGGCGCTCACTGTGTGCTCGCTGACCCGACCGAGGGGCCGAACCTCCACTCTGGAGTCTCCATCCTCAGGGGCCCCTGCCGCAGCAGAGGCTCTGGGGACTAGGACCCGGACGGCCTTTCTCCCAGAAGATGACTCTGTTTAGCCCAGGCTTCACCTCCCTGGGGCGAGGGGTCACTCAGGAATCCTGGCCACAGCCCTGCTCTGCACGAGGGGCAGAGAGGGGGTGCCTGCAGGAGTCCTGCCGAACCCCCCAGAAGAGCACAAGCAGCTCTGCACCTGTCACTTGCGATGGCTGTAAGACATGTCCCCTGCGGTCGTGTGAGCCGTCACCCTGGCCAAATCACATCTCCTGCAGGCGGGGGCCAGTCAGATGGGATGGAACTTGGTTTCTGGCCCTGGGTTAGGGCCTCAGAGGTCTCAGCCTCTGCCCCCTTGCCCTCTCACAGACACAACTCACAGGCAGGGGCCTCACCGGGATCACCGGCTCCTGGGGACAGAGACTGGAGGACCCCAGGAGGGCTGGTGGAGGTTGGGCCGGTGGGGCAGGGGCACCTATAGCTAGACACCTGGGGCGGGAGCCACCTGGAAGGCAGCCAGGGGGAAGGTGCCAGCAAGGCCCACTGCCGGTGTGACAGGACCCTGCTGTGACCCGCAGCAGCCGCGACGCTCCCTCTCACGGAGGGCCCATCCCACACCGCCTCCTACACACAGGTCTCTCACCACAGCCAGACTCTGCTGGCCACCTCCCTCCTAGGAGGGGACACAGCTGCACCTCCTCATGTGGCCTTGGGCCTCCTGCTCTAGGAGAGCCCCGCCGGGTCCTGAGTGTCCCCCACGCCCAGGAGCCTCCGTGTGAAGCAGAAAACCCCTGGGAGGGTCACGCAGGGTGAGGCAGGGCCCACAGACGCTCCTGCCCAGGTGAGGGAGGCCCCCGGGTGCAGACCCCCTCCTGCCTGCTCTCCCAGACCCAGAGACCCAGCCAGGGCACCTACCTCCAGTGCTGGGGGCTGGCGGGCACCAGGTCCACCCCGTGGCCCAGGATTCTTCTCAAGGTGCCCTCGGGGAGTCCGGGCATCAACTGGACCCTCTCCAGGGTGGGCGCGCCTTGCTTCCTCCTCACCACAGGCACGATGTTAAAGCGGATCTTCCTCCAGCCGCTGGACACCAGCAGAGACAGGTGCAGCTGCTCCTCACTCAGACTGGCCGCGTTCAGTGAACCTGCAACAACCCACTGTGGGCCAGCTGCCCTCTCCCGGGCCTGGCCCCGCCTCCAGCTGGGACACTCCACCCTGGACGCCTCTGTCCATGCAGGAACCACGGCCGAGTATGAAGTAGCCGCACCTGCATTGCGAGACCACAGTGCGGCCGCGGCTGGCCTGGTGACTCTCGGGCCGGTGGTGCCGCTCACTGCAGGCTCTGCCTTGCCAGGCACCTCCCTCAGCTGGTGGCCCAAGCCTGCCAACCACCCTCCCAGACCTGTGGGCTGTGCCCCGTGCCTGAGACCAGGGCCCACCTCAGAGCGTCCCAGGAGCAGTGGTGGACCTGGCACTGCCCCGGCCCTGCAGGCTGGGCTCTGCTCTGCAGTGCTGCAGGCCTCCCTTGAGCCCCCTGGCCCTGTGCAGGCCCTGGGCAGCTCAGAGCCTGCAGCCCTTCGCTAGTGGCCATGACACCCCCCTCTGAGGACTCGTCTGGCTACCAGACAGACCAGGGACCCCAGCAGTCTTCAGGAAAAGCTGTGGTCACTCTTGGGCCCTGCGCTCCTCCTGGACTTTGCACCACTCTGAGCCTGAAAATTCTGCAGAGGTCAGCCCCAGCTGCCAGGCCACCAGCAGTGCCTGGGGGTCAGTTCGTCCTTCCATGTAGCCTGTGGCCAGGGAGGACAGATGGACGTGACAGTCCAGTCCTTGGCTGGAGGCAGTGAGGAAGGGACACCAAGGCCTTAGTTGCTCCTTCTCCCTCCAAAGCAAATCAATGCCAGAGAAAGTGAGGGAGTGTGTCCCAGGGTACGGAGGGCACGGGCACCACTGGCTCTGACCAACACAGGCCAGGCTGGGCAGTCTGCCTTCCCCTCCCCAGCACTGTCCAGCAAGAGTGCCTGGGTCAGGGGCCAGGATGACAGACCTGCTGGGAGCCAGGCAAGTGCCACAGGGAATCCCCGGATGAGATCCTTGGAGAAAGGCCTGCAGTGAGTGGGCAGCTGTCCCACCTCACCCTGGGAAGGAGCCTGGCCTCCCCCTGTGGACCCTCAGCACCTTCCTGCACGCTGCACCTGAGCACTTGCTGGGCCACTCCGTCCCATGTGGGCCTCAGGTTCCCCCTCAGCAAGGAACAGAAAGTGGCCCCATCCCTCAGCAGCCAGCAGGGCCACCTCGGGCAGCTCTGCCTTCTTGTCATACCTTAGTCACACATTGTGCCTGTGAAACGGCAGCTTGGAGGGCAGCCAGCCACACCTGCACTCCATGGGCCACACAGCCCTGGCTGGTCCCACCGGTTCCAGGGTGGGGGTGGCTGAACTCTGCCACCTGGCCGTGGGCCTTCCTTTTAAGGAAGGTACAGGAAGCAATGCCTGGCTGTCCCCTGCACCCTGCCCAGCCCACCGCAGCGGACACCACAGGGATGGCTGTACTCTCGGCAGGGGTGACCCGTGTGTGAGGAGGGGCCCCGAAGCTAGATCACCCTGGTATGGCCCCAGAGCCTCCCGTCCACCCAACAGGGAGCTGTCCCCCGGGGGGCACTAGGCCTGCAGGTGACCTGACCAGCTGGGAACACCGTGTGGACGGAAGATGGAAAGAGCCCCACCTGACTAGTTCTGCCTGTAGTCAGAGAAGGCTCCGGGAGGCAGAGGGGCAGCAGCAGGCCAGCCACCTTATCATAGTCTCTGGTCACCCCAGAGGTCCGTCCCTTGCCTGGGAACACCCACTGGGCAGTCTGGGGTAGAGCTGCCCCTGGAAACTTCCCTCTTGATGCTTGTTGGTTCTGCGGCCCAGCTTGCAGCCTGGCTGTGCTGGACGGCCTTCCTAACCTGCAGGAAGCCCAGAGGAAAGGGGGGTCCTGGCAGCCCAGTGGCCGAGGACCCAGATGTGTGGCCAGACCAGGTCTCCACGGGCTGGGCAGCCTGGATGGGCCCTGTGAGGTGGGTCGACCACCCCACTCACTGACCTCACAGTGTGTGTGAGGACAGAAGACCAGGGAGGTAAGTGGACAGCAAATCCATGAGAGGTGGCAGCCACTACTGTCCCTCCCCCCAAAAAGCAGGACATTCTGTCTCAGTCCCCAGTGCCCTGCCCGGACAGCCTGATGTCCTTGCTCTGACCCAGGATGACGGCCCCGTCCCTCAGGGGCCACTGTCCTCCCCCACCCCCGGCTGATGGAAACCCACTGCCCAGGCCTGCGGGAGCCCTGCTCCCGCCCACAGCAGATCCCGCCAGTGGGGCCTGAGGCCAGGCCACTTGTGCCTTTGCGAGCACCAGCCTCAAGCCTGCTGTGTCCCATGACATGAGTTAGCCACTCGGCCCTGAGTGGAAACAGACCTGGGCACGTGTGCGCCCACGTGCACCCACGTGTTTCACGTGTGCACAAGCACGTACACAGATGTGCACGCACTTCACAGCCTGCACACTCACAGCCTGTGAGCAGAGGCTGGAGAGCGGACGGTCCTCATCGCAATGGGCCGCAGCCACAGCCCAGAACGCTGGGACCCTGGTGGCACCTGCTGGGCATGAGGCTTCCAGGCATTCACAGGCACTGCCACGGAACCCGGGTCAAGACCACTCCAGAGCCAGTCACGTGGAAGGCAGAAGGCTTGTGTAGAGGGTCTCAGGGCCAGAAGGGCCACCGAGTGGTGACAATCATGGGGACCGCACGTGTATGTGTGTGTGCCTGCGATCCCTGAGGATGGTGGCCGCCTTGTGCACCTGGACGTGAGGACCACACACATGTGCACACACTGTGCACACGGTGGGCAGGCACACCTCGAGAGCACACCACGTGCACGCCCATACTCACAGGCTGCCGTACCTGGCGGGATGAGGCTGTGGTGCCTGCAGTGCACAATGGCAGCCACGAGCAGGGCCTTGAGGACACGCAGGACCCTGCCAGGCACGATGTGGCCACAGCACTCTGCATTGCCCTCGTCCTCAGAAGTGCTGAAGACGTCCTCCGTCCTCCACTGCTCCAGGCCCACTGCCTCCCTGGGGACGCCCAGGCGGCAGAGGGCAGGGCCGTCCCCCGGCTCCGGGGCCCCCAGCTCCTCGATCAAGAGGGCCTCGGTGTTCACTTGCAGGGGCACCTCCATGTCCAGCGGGTCCTCCGAGGAGCGCAGGGAGAACTGGAAGGCCTGCAGGTCTCGGGAGTAGTCCACAAGGAAGCGGGGGTCCAGGGCATGCACCTGCTCCAGCACCGCGAGCAGCGTGTTCTCCGCACGCTGGTAGTCCTGGGCGCGGGGAGCTTCCCGTGAGCGGATGGCATGCAGGTAGTGGTGCCACAGGGACACCTGCGCGGCCATGGCTGGGGACAGCTGTCTCTGCAGCAGCAGCAGCAGGTGAGGGTGGCCCCTGGGGACCTGTCTGCAGGCCGGTGTAGATGGCTGGGAGGAGATAGCTGCTGCCAGGTGAGGAGAAGGTCTGCAGGTGGGGCTGAGCACAGCAGGAGCGCGGTGACAGGCAGAGGGTGAATAGCTGAGCAGAAGCCAAGGCTTTGAAGTGAGTCAGTCCCCAGCTCCCAGGAATGTCACCGGCCCGCCCAGGGAGGGAGGCTGGGCCTCTCACTACTCTCCTCCCCGCCCCTCCCTCCAGACTACTCCCCAGTCTCAGGACATCGCAGCCCATCACGTCACAGTCAGGCTGAGTGTCCCCGGGAGGGGGCTGCATGTCCCTGGGAAGGGGCTGCATGTCCCCTGGAGGGGGCTGCGTTCCTGAGGTCTGTTTCCCCATCCAGCGCCAGGTGGCCCGGTACACACATCAGGCCTTCCCTGCCTCAGCCTCTCTGCCAGGCTGGAAGGGACATAGGCATCATCAGGATCCAGATGAAAAGGGCCTCAGCCCACCCGGGCAGTGTCTCTACACGGTCCCCTCAAAACCTGTGCCCTGCTCAAACTCAGCAGCCCAGGTGTGACTCTGCATCCCCCTCTGCCATCGGCCACCAGCTTGGGATCCTGGGGCCACGAGGCCAGCAGCCCAGCCTTCCTCGGGGGACCAGCACCCACCTGGACTGGGAGCTGAGCTGCCTGGTGCTGGGGGACGCAGCCTGCTCGGAGCTCCGCCTCTGCCTGGAGAGCCTCCCTGACGGCCCCTCCACCCCCACACCTGCCCGGCACCTGCCCGCCTCCTCCTTGCACAGAGCTGGGCAAGTTTGGACCAGCCGGCAGGGCCACCCCCGCCACGCTTGGCCCCCAGCTGGCCGTGTGCAAAGGCTGATCAGCAGCTGGGACCTCTGCAACAGTGACATGGAGACAGCCCCACACAAGCACTCGGGACACCACCCCCTGCAGGGGCCCCAGGTCAGACCTGAGGACGGCTCGGGGCAGGGACAGCCACTCCCTTCCTGGCATTTGGAACCCCTCTGAGGGCTGCAGCCCCATGAGCAGGTCCCTCCTCCCTCAGCCTGGCCCCTCCTGTCCCCCGAGGCGGCCCAGAGCACATCTACCCCACCCCAGGTGGCTGCTCTAGGACCCCCAAACACGGCGACTGCTATGCCCACGGTCCATGATTCCACGGACTCTGGCCTGGGCCCTCCTGCAGAGCACTGGGGTCCAGCAGGCCTGGGTGGCCCTGTCCTGACCCTCAGCCTGGGCTGCAGGCCAGGGCAGCTCATGTCAGATTCGGAACTCACACGTCGGGGTCTCACCGACGTCTCCAGCTCTCTAGACAGGCTCAGGGCCGGCTCCCGGCTGCCCCAGTCCATCCAGATCACCCAGGGCTCTGAGACCTATCAAGAGCAGGGCCTAGCTCATCCCCTGCCACGGGTGAGCCGTGGCCATCGGGCACTGCAACCCAGGGAGCTGCTCACCACCTGCCACGGGTGAGCCATGGCCATTGGGCACTGGGGCCCAGGGAGCTGCTCATCCCTTGCCACGTGTGAGCCGTGGCCATCGGGCACTGCGGCCCAGGGAGCTGCTCACCACCTGCCACGTGTGAGCCGTGGCCATCAGGCACTGGGGCCCAGGGAGCTGCTCACTACCTGCCACGGGTGAGCCGTGGCCATCGGGCACTGCGGCCCAGGGAGCTCACACACCAACTCCTCTCCAGTGACCTGGTGGACTCTGTCCTCCCGAGACCTCAGCTCACATCAGAGCCGTGAGGGCCAGGCCCTCTGATTGGGGATAGCTGGCCTCCTTGGTGTGTCCTGCAACGGGGCACGTGCCTGTGCTCAGAGGGCACAACACTGGGAGATGACGGATAGTGAAGGCCGGGAAAGCTGGACCTGGGCTCTGCATGGCCTTGCAGGGACACACAGGGGGATTGGCAGAGAGAGAAGGACAAGGGCTGGCCTCATTGGCCGGGAAGCCTTTGGCCACTAAGGTTCTTCAGAGGCCTGCAGCAGGACCCAAGCCCACCACCTGCAGACCCCAGGGCGGGCAGTGGGGTCAGGGATGGTGAGATGGGGGTCAGCATCGCAGGCAGAGCCGACAGGGTCCATCAGGGCCTTGAGGGCCCAGAACGCACACGTTGGTGCAGCGCAGGGACAGGAGCATCCTGTAGCTCAGGAATTTCCAGTGTGCCTGGCGGGGAGGGAACACTGCAGCCGAACAGAGTCCACAGAGTGAGCCGGGTCTCAGAGGTGCCGGCCCTGCACCCCCTCACACCCCGCTTGCCTGGGGGACCAACCTGGTGGTCTTGGGGCTGGTCTGTGAGCTCTCTGGGCCGCTGCACCTCTCGCCACAGTGCGGTGGTCTTTGTTTCCTGAGTGACTACTGGTATCAAGATATTCTCATGGTCCTACTGGCTTTTTGTGCATTTTCTTTGGAGATATGTGTAGCACGGTCTTTGCCCATTTAACTGGGTTGTTTTATTGTTGTTGAGTTTTAGGGATTCTTTATATATTCTGGATCTTAATCCTACCTAGAACAGATAAACTATTTGAGAATATTCTCTCACACAATGTTCTGTCTTTTCACTTTCTGGATATTGTCCTTGGAGGTATCAAAACTTATAATTTCAATAAAGCTCAATTTATCTATTTTTTCTTCCACTGTCTGCACTTTTGTTATCATATCTAAAACATTGTGGCAAATCCGGGTGGTGAGACTCTTCCCGTCTGTTATCCTTCAGGAGTTGTATAGCTGTAGCTCTCACATTTAGGTCCTGGGGTAGGGTTTTAATGACTGGAGGCACAACCTTCTGCCCCAGGCAGCCCTCTGTCCCTTCCTTCTCTGTGGTCTTCAGAGACTGGGCAGCGGGGCAGGCAGGAGCCTGAGCCTTCTCAGAAGTCCTGCCCCAGGACCGTCCCCAGGGCCCACAATGGCAGCATTTGCCCTTCAGACAGGTCAATGTGGGGTGGGAAGGGCAAGTCCTCTCTCCCACCCCAGGAAACCTCTCGGGACCTGCGTCAGGCCAGAGCCCCAAACACAGCACCCGTGCCCAGCAGGCCTGTCCTCTGGGGACACCATAATACACCACTCCTGACCCCAAGCCTTTGGAGAGGGAAGTGACCTTGGGAGTCCCGTGAAATGCCCTGTGCTTCTCACGTGGAGGCACGAGCCCCACCCTGGCCCTCCAACAGCCTCTCCTCCTCAGTCAACAGCTGGGAATGAGGCCGTGCCACCCAGACTGCTCTGTGCAGGGACCAAGAGGCTGACGTGTCTTCTGAGCACGGTTCACCTTGGGGGCAACTCTTGGGAAGAGGGAGGAGGCCCAAGGGAGTGCAGCAGCCTCTCTCAGCCGCACAGCCTCCAGGACTGCCCGTCCAGCCATAATCACTCTGGAATCTGACTAGCTTCCTGTCGCCGGCTCTGCTGGCCTCGTCACTCTGTGCCCTGGAGAGTTGCCTGGACTTCTGAGCCGACTGCTCACCGTGGGGCCGCAGCAATTGTGCATGAGGAGTGGCTCCCACAGGCCGCCAAGCTCAGCTGACCTGGTCATGGCCTCTGAGGGCTCTGTCCAAATGCATCTCCTGCAGGTGCCTTGAGTTGTCCCACACGTAGCCCTGTTCTGGATCCAGGTGTGGGCACCAGCTCAGCACAGCCAGGGGCCACCTGGTGCCAGGGCTGACCTCCCTGGCCATCAGCATCTCTGTGCCCAACACAAGCCACTGTGTCCCTGTGTCCCCGCAGAGTCCCAGCACTATCAGAACCATGGGTCAGCCTGTCTGCGGAGGTTCTTTCTCTGAGCAGAGCCCCTCGGGCAGCCTGCGGGTGGTCAGCCACAGGCAGGAGGGGAGGTCCCGAGCGAGGTGTGCGGTCGGCACCCGCGGTGACTTTCCATGCAGCACAGTGACTGGAGGGCGACAGGTTCACAGGCTACTCCACTTTGAGCAGCTGCAGTTCACTGACCACTTGTGGGTCACCCAGTACCACACTGGCAACCAGAGTCCTCTATTCCACTCCCCCCACAGAGGGTCTGACCCCCATGTCCACAGGGCTCCCAGGACTTCAGGAGTGCTGGAGGCACCTTGGGTGCCAGGGCAAGCTGCCCAGGGAGGTGCCCAGGCCATGTGTGGGTCTGCTAGTGTCTGAACCTGGAGCGCTGCTGGCCCAGAGGCACCGGGGCTAGAGGGACCAGCCAGGACTCCCAGAGACGGTCCCAGGAACCTTGGCCCCAATGCCCAGTGGGGCATATCTGGCCAGAGGCCCCACCTGCCCTTCAGGGAGCACCTGACTGTGGCCTTTCAGGGTGAGGTGGGCAGGAGCTCTGGGGACACCAGGAGGAATCCAGGCATTCCCTGGGTTCTGCCTAAATCTGGGGTCGAAGGAAGTGGCCTGGCCATGTCAGGCCCTCCTCGGCAGCAGGGGACAGACATCCTGACCCTCACCACCTGGTCCTGCCTGGCCTGGCCTGCCGGCCCTCTCCCACCCTGAGGGGTTGGCTCCAAGAACTCAGGTCTCTAGGCAGGGATGCCCCTCCCAGAGTCCCATGCACAGGCTGGCCGCTCTCTCAAAAGAGATGGCCACTGCTGATGCAGGGCCTGCTTCCAGGGGCTGCCCACTCCCAGGAGGGCTCCTGCCAGCAGCAGCCTGGCTCAGGGAGGCCCCAGCTTGGTGCGAGGAGCCCCTGACGGGAGTGAATGCGGGTGGGATGCCGGCCCACTGCCCGCATGGCCGGGCCCAATCCTGCGGCCCAGGCTGGCGCCAGGGTGGTCTGCCAGGACACCGCAGGGGGCAGCAGGGCCACACCTTCCTCCTGTGCTCCCCCCTGAGGCGCTGCCCTGCCCTGGCATCAGACCTTCTGCCCCACCCCGGCCGGGGCCCACTCCCTGGCAGCCCCTCACGACGTGGGTGAGCAGAGAGGAAAGCGACTTCCCCCACCAGGGTCAGGGTTGTGCAGGGGACAGGTCACCCTGGAAGGGCTCAGGGGGTGGGGGGGGGCTCCGCAGGGGCTCGTCCAGGCACAGGGCTGGGAAGACAGGGCCCGCCCTGCTGCGTGGGCGGCTTCCCCCCCTCAGGCCTCAGCCCACCACGGAGACGGCCCCGGCACTGCGGGTCAGCGGCCTGCCACACGTCCTGCACAGCTGCAGCGGGTGAGTCTAGATGACGGGACATGGTCTGGGAGCTAGCTGCCCTTGGGAGTGCGGCCTGCACGGCCTCCTCCTGGAGTGACCGGGAGGTCTGGGCAGAGGCCAGCCCTCCTGGTGTGTGGCTTAGGAGGAGAGCTTCACGCCAGGTCTCCAGGAGACACTTCCACCAACAGCTTCCCTGATCCCCAAGACAACAACGAGTCCCGCTCCTGTTTCCAGGGAAACCCGGCCCTCAGCGTCCTGCTGCCACGGCAACACCCATGGCTCGGTGGCTCTGTGGTCTCTCCAAGGCCGGGCAGCGGGCTCCCGGCTCAGAGAGCTCGGCACCGCGGGGCGCTGCAGGGCTGTGGGGCCGGGTGCTGTGAGCCGCCTTTCTCTGAGGTCCTGCAGTCTGGACAGCCATGAGTTCCTCCTCCAGCGAGCCTGGCCGTGGGGACCCCGCTGAGCAGTCCCCACTGGGGCTGGACACGGTGATCCAGGTCAGTGAGAGCAGGTCCCCACTGGCTGGGACCCTGAACAGACGGGGGCAGCTGTGCCTCCCTGACTCCCAGGGACGCTTTCCACATGCTCCTGGGCTCAGCTCGAACGTGAGCACACACGCAGAAATGCGCAGGGCGCGCTCTCTCCCTCTCTCCCTCTCTGTCTCACACACACACACACACACACACACACACACACACACACGGACCAGGGACGTGCTGGGTACACTCAGAGGAGGAGACGGCCCAGCGGCCAGCCCCCCTGCTCCTGGCTGCAGGAGCTCGGTCAGCCCCTGAGCCTCGGGCCTGCAGTCTGCACGCTGCAGCGGGGGGACAGAGGCCTGCTGACCTTCCGGGCAGTCTGCTTCACTGTGGCCAAGGGCAGGGGCCAGGCAGCTTTCCTTGGAGGGTGTCGCCGTCTTTCTCAGGGGGTCCCCAGTATCTAGTCTGCAACCTCCAGGAGCTCTGTTTCTGTTGGTCTTCAAGGCAGGAACCACTCCCCATGTCCCTCTCCCCTCCACTCCTGCGTGGAGAGCCGCCACTGCCCACTTCTGCACCCCTCCCCCAGCCTCACACACCCAGCCTCCACGATGCTGCCTCCACCTGCATCTGGTGACTAAGGCCAGCAGTCCCTGGCCCTTGGGCTCCAGTGCCCCTGAGATGGACCAGCTGACTCAGAGTCCTCCGACCCTGAGAGCCACCCTGCAGGGGTGACATGCCCTCAATCAGCAACATAAGTCCCCTGCAAAGATAATCGCACACAGGTGGTGCCAGGTGGCTAATGACACGGTGGCGTCATGGTGCCCACAAACACTCACACAGAGGAGCCCACACAGGGACACAACACAGCCCTGCAGAATGTCTGAGTCAGGTGACACAGACAACTAGAAGAGTGCCCTGGGTGGGACTTGCAACTGGAGGCCACGCTCTCCAGCTCCATGGGGCCCCGGGGCGGGGAGGCCACGCTGTCCAGCTCCATGGGGCCCCAGGGGGGGAGGCCACGCTGTCTAGCTCCACGGGAATCCAGGGGCGAGGCCACGCTGTCTAGCTCCATGGGACCCCGGGGCGGGGAGGCGACACTGTCCAGCTCCATGGGGCCCCAGGGGCGAGGCCACGCTGTCCAGCTCCATGGGGCCTCGGGGTAATGAGGATGAAGAGAGGTGGCCAGCCAGGACAGTCCTTCAGCTCCTGAGTGGGCTTCACTGCCCCTCTGGGAGCTGGGGAAACTGAGGCTGGAGGCTTGCCATGGCCAATGGCTTGAGGGAGAAATCCAGGTCGATGCCCGATGACCTGGGTCCTAGTCCTTGGCAATGGGGCAGGGGCGCCTCTCTCTGCCCACTGTGCCTGGCAGCAGCCATCTGGAGCCAGACAGAGCCTGGTGGCGTCTGCTCTGCCCGCCGCCCCGCCGGCACCTGGCGCTCACACCGCACAGATTGAGATCTGGAAGCAATTACCCAGGTGAGCAGGCAGCAGGTGGGCGCCACCAGATGCCCAGATAGGCCCAGGCAGACGGGTCGGCAGGGCCACAGGCCCTGAGCCCTGCAGCTGCCCGGGGAAGGGCTCCTCCCAGGGAAGAACTGGACTCCTGAGAGGCACCCCTTTTCACTTCTGCTCAGTCACTTATTGGTCCCTTTACACTACGTGTGCCTCCAATTTTATCACGTGGTTATTCTTCCTTTTAATTCCTTGTGTTTGGTGCTCATCTAAGTCTTGAGGTGTGTGCTTGGCGGTGGGCCTGCAGTCTTGTTTTCCTTTGTCATGCTGTCAGTGCTGACATTCGTATGGTGTGACACTTGCCGCTTAACCACTGTTCAGCGAGTCTGTGGCACTCAGGGCCCTCATGCGACTAAGTGACCCCACACGACCCACCCCAGCACGGTCCTCTCCCCTCCTGGCCCGTGGCCACCACCCCGTCTCCAGGGCTGACTGCTCTTGGCTTGTGTGAGTGGGTGCCCATGCTCTCGTCTCTCTGACTGGCCTGTCCACTGAGCGGTGTCCTGTGCTGCACCCTCAGCCTTGGTCAGAATCTCCTTTTTGAGGTGAATCACACTCCACCGTGTAGGTGGGCCACACTCTGTGCACTGTCCTTCCGTCAGTGGGTCCTGGGCTGCACCCGCCTGCCGGTGACTTGAACAGAGACCCCGTCCACAGGGTAGGCACAGCTATCAGCCTCTGGTTTTGTCTGGGGATTCACACCTGAAGGGACATTGCTGGGTCACATGGTGACTGGGTGCACTGGTGAGGGGCCACCACTCTGCTTGGTTGCAGCTCCAAGGGTCACCTGCTATCCGTGTGTCCTCTGAGTGAGGCTCACTGTGGGAACTGGCTTTGCCCACACCACCCCTGACGCCAAATGTGTGGATTCTGACCTCCAGCTCTGCCTACCCCCGGGAGTCCTCCGAGTCAGCTCGTCACCCTACCCAGTGCTGGCACTGCCCCACAGGCAAGGACGCAACCCCACAAGACTGTCCCTCTTCAAATGCCACTCCCAAGACTAGCTGCCCTCTGACCTCCAACTGGCCACACTCCGCCCTCAGTCTAGTAGCTCGCCTGCTCAGCTCCCAGAACCCAGGATGCTTCACTTACTCCCTTATGAGTTACTTAAGGGGCAGTCTCAGGCCCTGGAGCAGATGCCCAGGGCCAGGTGTCTGGGAGGGGAGCCAGCTTGCCCCTAGGGTCACTCTCAGGCCCAGAGGCCCTCCCATCTACTTGCTAGTGTTCTCAGGAGTTCCACGGATTAGCTCACTGGCCCCCGGTGACCGGCTCAGGCGCAGCTCCCCAGAGGCCTTGGTGCTTGGGCTGAATGCTCCACCACCCTAGTCCTGCCCTGGTCATTCTGCCAACCAGCCCCACTCTGGGGGTCTCTACCCCCCACACACACACACTTATTAGCATACAGAAGACTATCACTCAGCTCAGGAGACCCCAAGGGTAATTGTCCTGAGGCAGGTGTCCTGGTCCACCAGGATGGGAGCTGTGAATGGTCAAGAGAGGCCCGGCCAGGGGCCAGCCTCCCAGCCCCTGCACTCACAGTGCCCCAGGGAAGGGCCTGCCGCCCATCTCTAGGTCTCCTGGACACAGTGGTGGTGGGCTCAGCAGGCCAGCCACAACCTTCCCCTGGGGACCTTGCCCTGTCCTCCGCAGTCCTCCATGAACACCCAGGGCCTTCGGAGCTGCTCCAGCTCTCTCCCCTGTCAGGCCACCGCTCCCTCTGCTCCCTTCTCCCCAGGAGGCCCCGGTGCTTCCACTGCCGAGGACTAGGCCCTCTGGCTGTGGGACTCTCACCGACCTGCCCCTCCTGAGCCCGTGTGTCAGGGGCCCAGGAGAAGCAAGCCGCAGCCTGGCCCTCCTGCACATTCCTGGCCAGGAGGCATTTTGCAGTTAGTGATTCATACCTTGGGCCTTCCAGCTGGGCTGTCAGTCATTTGGGCCTTGAATGAGTCTGGGCCTGTTGGCATGCCCAGCACTGAGCAGGCGCACGGCCCCCTCCACCTGCCACACCTGCTTCAAGCCCAGCCCCCAGGCTTTAGGAGGCCCCTGGGTTTGCTGTGAGAGGAGGGAGGACACCCCAGGAAGCCCGCTCCTGCCTGAGCAGGGTTGGGAGAGGCAGAGCCCAGCCTCACCACCCAGGACACCTCTTTTCTAAGAAAGCAGAGTGCCTCCTGCCTGGGCACGCTGCAGAGGGCCTCCCTGGGCCAGGACGGCAGCAGGTCTCCAGCAGGCTCTTGGTGGGTCAGAGCCACCGGGCCTCCCCGGGGCCATAGACACAACTGCCGTGCACAGGGCAGGAGAGCAGCAGTCCAGCTGTCTGTCCACGCACCACCATGGGCACGTGGGAGCCTAGGAACGGAGTCCCAGCCTTACCAGGCACTTCTGAGCAGGTGACCTCAAGCAAGTCCTGACCTCACTGGCTTCCTTTCCCCACCCAGGAGGACGAGCCTTTGGCTCAGGTCGAGATCGGGGGTGTGAAAATGTCTGCCGGTGGGAAATATTAAAACCTGGACTCACCTCCCTGCCCCATGCATGGTCACCAGTGTCATGGTCCTCAGGCAGCTGTAGCCCTGAGCCCAGCCTGGACTCCCAGGGGCCCCAGGGGCAGCCTCCCTGCAGTGCCCCAAGCAGCCACACAGGGGCGCTGTTGGAGCTTGGTGGCCCAGCCGCAGTTCCACCCCTTCAGGCGGAGGGGCCAGGGACGCCCCCTGCGCTCCACCCTCTGCTCTGCCATCCCAGTCCTGCTCCTGCAGCTGGAGGGTGGGGCCAGAGTTGGTGACCTGGTTGTGTTGGGGCTGCCCACTGGACAGCCCTTTTCCCTCAGTGATCTTTACAGGGTTCAGTGCCTGGCTCGCTGTTGCTGGCCGCCCGGGGGTGTCCACCACCCCAGGGGTGTCCCTCCTTCAGAGCCCAGGCCGGGGTTCTCAGCACAAGCTGTCTGCCTGCCCCTGCCCTGAGCAGCGGTGGAGGGCTCACTGGATGCTTGACAGGTTCTGTTACCGGGGCCTCTACGGGGGCTTCCTCTTTCCTCTGGGCCCTGCACCCTGCCACATGAAGACCCTTGTGGGTCCTCAGAGGAGCAGCCCTGTGCTTCTGGGACTGACAGCTGCCCAGAGGGGTCGTCCCGTGGGTGGTAGGGCTTCGTGTGCACTGACTTTGCAGCGCCCTAGGCTCCACTGGGGAGCAGCGGCCAGCCCAGCTCTCTCTGCCTCAAATCACCTGCACTGCCAATCACTACCCACCCCGCCAGGGTCCAGGTTCTCTCCCCAGCACACCTGGGGTGAAAGGTGCTGGGCCCACCTGCGGGACAGCCTGTGCACACCAACCCCGCTGAGCCCCACCCCTGGGGAGCAACTGGGCTCTGCCCCAGTGAGGTGCACTGGGGGCTGTGACCCTGACCCACCCAGACCTGCCTGAGGAGCCCACCCTGCCACTGGGCAGGAGCACACTGGATTGGCTTCCTCCTGCCCCACCCAGCAGGAAGGGACAGGGACGTGGCAGGGTGTGGAGAGCTCAGGGGGCCGGTGCCCCTCGGGGTCCGGGCTTGTAGAGACCCTGTGGATTTTCTGGGCTTTGCGTCTGAATTCCCTGCTGGGGCTCTGGCCCCCTCCCCTGACAGCCTGGAAGGACCATCTGGAAAAGTCAGGCCAGGGGTGCAGGGGTGGGGTGGGGTGGGGAGAGCGTGTGCCCCCCAGACCAGGCCAAGTGCACCCCCCTGCAGGGGAAGAACGTCTGCAGGGCGAGTCCTTGTGCATGGAACGTGGCCAGCAGGGGGGTAAGCCTCCTCCCTTGGCCCCTCTTGGGGGCTCCAGGCCCATTCTGGCCAGTCCCTCCATTGACAGCATGGAGCAGCACAGGCCACCTCTGCACCCCCCTTTCAGGGATCTCCAGCCAAGACCCAGGACAGGGGAGGGGATTGGGGGAAGAGGCCTCCGCCCGCCCCGGAGCCCAAGCCCACCCCCAGCCCCAGGCCAGTGCAGCAGTGCAGAGGGGGCCTGGGGCCGCAGGAGGATTGGGGTGGGAACATCTCTTGCCTGAGTTTGGAGCAGCTCCCCTTCCTCTGGGGTGGGCAGCCTATGCCTTCCTGCTGGGTCCACTGTCCACAGCAGCCCATTCTCCACAGAGCTGCAGCCCGGGGGCTTTGGGGCCCAAGAGGACCTGGATTCCCGCCCCCCAAATTTAACAGTTCCCTTAGAAGGGCCTGCAGCCCTGACCCCCGCAGGAGGGGAAGATAAGAGGGTCCCCTCCACACAGCCTGAGGGAGAGGGGAGACAGCCATGGCCTGCTGGCTGTCCCCACTGGGTCTCACACAGACCCCTCAGGGCCAGGATTCTGTTGTAGGGCCGTTGGTGGGTCTGTGGCCTCTCTGGGGTCCTTAGTGCCGGCTAAGCCCCCGAGGGCGCTAGATGCAAGATGAACATGACCCGGTTCAACTGTGATCAGGGAAAATCAGGACTCCTGGGAAAGGGAAGCCCTGTCCTGGAGTGCTCTCTGACTCCCGAATCGCCCCTGGGGCCAGGAAGGGCTGGGGGGTTGGGGCCACGATCCACCGGGGGCTGCAGGCCGCAGGTGAGTCGCAGAGGAGCCTAGGGGTGGGGTGCAGACCAAAGCTGGTGGGCGCAGCCCCGCGACCTGCCAGAGCGCCCACCAGCTTCGGACTGCCGTCCGTGCGGGGGGCAGCTGGGGACCCTCAGGGCCTCCCCGCCCGTGCCCTCCCGCCGTATCTGGGCCGCGGCCTGGCAGGCACCCGGCCACAGCTGGAACCCATTACGCCCCCAGCGCCTCCCGGGATGGCTCTGCTAATAAGCGACCCTCTGTAAACGCTAGGAATGAGTCAAGTCTGAGCTGTGCTGCGCTTTCCCGTTAGCGGGTGGCGCCGCCGATGCCCCGGGGACCCAGGGCGGGCGGGCGCGCGAGGGAGGTGGAGCCAGCCGGACGATGAGCCTGGGTCTGTGGTGCTGTGCGCGGGGCCTGTTTCCCCTGCACAAAGTCGGAGGCCAGGGTCCAATGGCTGAGCCCGGTCCACCCCGTTTTCCTCTTAGGAGGACAAGAGAGGGCTTGGAGCCTAGACACCGGGGGCCTTGCTCGGCCCAGGAGAGGTGGCAGGCTCCACTGGCCCTTGGCCCATCCGGGAGCCTGGCTGGGGCTTCCTCTGTGAGAATGTGCAGGGGCCATGCCCAAGACCTCCCAGGGACTGGGACCCTAATCCCTGGGGAAAAGGAAGGATGGGGTGCAGCTGAAGGGCCGGTCAACCAGACCCTGGGCTCACACCCACTTGGCATTTGCCAGGTAACTGCCCTTCACAGGGCTGCTGGGGATCAGGATGGGGCCTATCCAGGAGCCATGCAGAGCCTGGGTTTGGGGTGACTGCTAGCAGTCTGTGGTCAGTCCAGGAGAGAGGCCAGTGTGTTCAGGGGTCCAGAGGGAGGGGGCAGTATCTGAGGCAGAAGCATCCCACTCTTGCTTCCAGAGTTGGGCACAGTGGGAGGACCCCTCTGGCCCTGCTGGGCTTCGATCCCCCTCTGTCTGACCCAAGAAACTGGGTTTCTCTGCTGTGGCCCAGAAACAAAGGCACCGGCCTCCTAGCACCCCAGAGAGGACAGCTGTGACCCTTCAGCGGTGTCAGATGAGCTGGCTCAGAGGTGGCACAGGCCTGTGGGTGAGCTGTGCTGCCCTCGGCCAGTACTGGATCCCTTCTCTCCATTCTGTGTTGCAGGTGGTGACTTGGGTGAGCTGCTCAGCCTCTCCCACCCCCCTGGGCACTTTGATCTCTTAGGTGATCGTTGAGGACTCCTACGGGGTGCCTGGCAGGTGCCCATATTTAGCACCACAGGTGTCTCTGGGGTGTCTTTCAGAGGTTGGAGGACACCATCCTCAGCCCCAGGGCCAGCAGGGAAGATCGGGTACTCACTGTGCGAGGGGAGGGCCGGCAGGCCTCGCCCACCCCCTTGCCTGCCCGCATCCGTGAGATCGTGGCCAGCAGCCTGCGTGAGGAGCCACCCCAAGGTGAGGGAGTGGGCCCTGATCTGGGCTCAGGGCTACCCCACCCAGAGCTGCCCGGCGGCCTGCAGCCCTCCACAGGGGAGCACCACCGGAGGGTGGGGACAAGGCAGGTGCTTGTGACACACTTGTGACCATCAGCCTCGAGATCACACCGTCTCCGTCTTTCCCTGGCCCAGCAGCCCCTCCCTGCTGCTTCCTGTCACGCTGCAGCGGAGCACTGCGCCTGAGGCTCAGTCCCTGCACAAGGCCACTTGAAACTCCCTCGGGACATGGGTCCCAGCAGCCCCTTTGAATGCTGAAGCTCTGCCTGGCTTTCTGAGGGACCCCAGCACCCACCATGCATGCGGCAGGGAGGGGGACACCACTCATATTTAGAAGAGCAACTTCGGACTCTGGGTCGAGGTCCTGCCACCCTGTGGCCAGCAGCCCGTCTCTGGGCACCCAGCATCTGGGCTGCTCCACACCCCTGCTGGCCTCAGCCTGACCGTGGGTCTGGGTGCACTAAAGATGTGGACAAGAGGCAGGGAGGCGAGGAGGCAGGTGTCTGTCAAAAGGAAAGGAAGTGGACCGGGACCAACCCCCTCCCAGAAGGCCCAGGCAGGCCCCACAGTGGGAGATAAGGCAGGGTGCGGGCCTGGCCACCCAGCTGACCAGGTGCTGTGCCCACAGGGGTGCTGGAGCCACCTGCCACTCTGGTCCACCTGCATGAGGAAAGGGAGCTGCTGCAAGAGGAGCTGGCCCGGCTGGAGGACCTGCTGGCCCAGTCAAGCACCGAGCAGGCCGAGCTGGCCGGCAGGTACCAGGCTGTCAGCCACCGGGTGAGTGCCACTGGTGCTTGGCCGCCGGGCATGCAGGTGGCGCTGTGGCTCTCTACCTGGGGAGCCATCAGTAAGTCTCAGGACCTCAGCACATCCAGGCCCTGGGCAGTGGACGGGGACACCGAGGCTGGAAAAGTGAGACGGTGCTGGGCCAGGCGGTGTCTTGCTAGGCAGCACCCACAGCAGCCGCTTCCGAAGCAGAGCTGAGCGTGGGGTGGTGCAGGGCCTTCCTGAGCTCTGTGTGGCAGGACAGAGGGGGTGGCCGCTCACCAGGGCCACGAGGGCCTAGCCACCCGGAGGACTCCCCAGGGTAGATGGCAGCACCTGTTCCCCTGTGGCTCCCACCGTGGGAGCTCCTCCGGGCAGGGTGCCGAGGGCCGTCCTGGTCGTGCCTGGGAGCGCACACGCCCACCCAGCCTGCCCTTCCCTCCAGCCCCCTGCACCCTTGGCAGGCCTGGGTGGGTGGGGAGGGGAATCTTCTTCCTAGCACTGGGCGGGAGATGTGGGAACAGGCCCAGGGAATTGAAGCCACAGAAGTCCTGCCACAGATCAGATCAGTAAACCGTGAGTCAGAGCGCGGCGTGGATCACTAGGGGTAGATACCTCCAGGCTGGGCCCCCAGGGACCCTGCCTTCCTCCTGCCCTCATCCCAGGCCTTCCCCCAGCCACGGCTGGGCCCTGGGTCCAGGTCACCAGTAGTGATGGTGTGGCCCTGGGCGTGATTCCTGACAGCCATGGGTGACGGCCTGAATGTCCCTCAGATCACCCAGAGTGCTGCTCCGGGCTGGCCGCCTGGGGACCTGGGGCCTGGTCAGGTGTGTGTGTTCCTGGCCTCTCTGGACAGGGCCTGGGGTGGAAGACAGTGCTGGGAGGTGACCCAGGCTGGAGGAGTCCTGGCTTGTGCCCTCTGGGTGGGGGGCAGGGTTCGTGGCCCAGAGCTGCCCTCAAACCCTCCACTGTGCCCTGAGCCCTGAGTCCCTGGTGTGGCCATCTGAAGTGAGCTGGAGTGAGGGTGGTCAGGGCCCCTCTGGGCCTACCAGGCCAGTGCTATTTCTAGGGCAGTGAGGGGTCAGCTCAGCCAGGGCCTCCTTTCCTCCCTCCTCTGCTGGCCACAGGTGCTAGGCACAGGGATGGGGTGTGGACAGCCGCCATCGGGCCCAGACCCCACCCCAACCCCATCACGGACACCAGCTCCTGCTGGGAGGCCCTCTTTCTTGCCCCTGCCCAGAGTGGGCTTTCCGAGAGGCCCTGCCCCTGCCCAGCAGGGTGAGAACCACCGGCCAGGTCTGCCACTCCTGTGCAGATGCAGGCCCGCCTGGAGGCCACCCAGGCTCGGCTGCGGAGGTCAGAGCTGGAGCACAGTGTGGACCTGGAGGAGGCTCTTGGCCGTCTGGAGGCCGCAGAGCAGAGGTGAGACCACAGCAGGCTGCCAGAGCTGGACCCTGCCCCCCGACAGCGGACCTGCTTCCCCGAGGCTCCTGCAGACAGCTGTGTGCCAGCCCTGCCTGTGAGAGGCGGTGGAGGCTGGGGTAGGGAGGCAGGGCAGGGCTGGCCCCTCGCCCTCTCCCCGCATCCTGCGGCCAGGGCCAAGCAGAAAGCAGGAAAGGGTCAGCCCACCCTGCTGTGCACCTCTCAGGGGCTCTGCTGGTGCAGGCCCCCTCTGCCCAGCCCCTGAGGGTGGCCACACATTGGCCCGGCCAACCTGGGGACGCCCCTCTCTGGCTCTCCCTAGGGTTCAGCCTCTGATCACAGAGCTCGCCTTCAGCTCTTGTTCACCCGAACCCGGACCTGGCACCCCAGAGCAAAGGCAGAGCCCCGGCTTTAACCAGGACCCCAGCACTGACCCCGCCCCAGCACTAACCCCGCCCCAGCACTAACCCCGCCCCAGCACGAACCCCGCCCCAGCACTAACCCAGCCCCAGCACTAACCCAGCCCCAGCACGAACCCCGCCCCAGCACGAACCCAGCACTAACCCAGCCCCAGCACTAACCCCGCCCCAGTCCTAATCCCACCCTAATCCAGCCCCAGCACTAACCCCGCCCCAGCACGAACCCCGCCCCAGCACTAA